TTGCTGCGCGTGGGCTTCCTCTAGTTGTGGCGAGCGGGGTCTACTCTTCGTTGCGGTGTGCAGACTTCTCATTGCTGTGGCTTCTCTTGTTGTGGAGCACGGGCTCTAGGCTCACGGGCTTCAGTAGTTGCGGCTCGTGGGCTCTAGAGCGCAGGCTCAGTAGTTGTGGCGCACGGGCGTAGTTGCTCCGCGGCATGTGGGATCTTCCCAGAGCAGGGCTCGAACCCGTGGCCCCTGCGTTGGCAGGCGGATTCTTAACCACTGCGCCACCAGGGAACTCCCAAAACATTTAAAACAATATAATCAAGTACTCCTACCTAGAACAAAATACTACTTTGCTGTGAATAAGAACGTTTAGCTTAGTTCGTATCCCCGTAAGCACGTACTTGTTGAACATTTTGTGTCAAATTGCTCTATATGTTTAGAAGTTCCGTTCACTCCTCCACACTGATAGGCCAGTATCCTGCTGTGTTGTAACTGTGTCAGTAAACCACAGTGTACTGCTCCGTACATTTAGCCGATAGCAATAACTTCACTGATCAGTAATAAATATTAACAGAGATTATACAGGAGCACATTATATTTGGAGATGAAAAGGGAGAGGGGTGTAGGTGGCTCTTCAGTCTGCGTGAAAGGCTTAGAAAATATAATGGAAGAAAGTGTAGGGTAGTAAATTAGGGTCTATGCTGTTTGCTCTCTTTTTTCTTTTCTTTGGTAGAGCTTGTGCCATCTCTAAAGTTTTAGAGGGCAAGAAGGAAAGCTACCATTTGATCTAAGTGAATAAAAAGAATTCTAGAATGCTCCACGTTTATTTTCTCTCTTAGCTATTACTTTGCTGCCTGTAGTGGAGTAAGTGACAAGTCTTGAGGAAAATTAATTGGTGGAGGAAATCGAAGAGAAAAAAGAATTGTTCTGATTTATGTTTACTTTTATTTTTTCTTTCCATTTTCGTCGTTAATTGCCTCCACACAGCAGGATAGATACACTTCTTATTGTACTTATTATACCCTATCAGGTAGAGTATCCACAAATGGGAAGTTATTACTGTTCTCCTACCACCAAAGACATGACAGTTTATCCCACCAAGTAAGTGCCCATTGAGCAATCTTCTCTGGCAGTCCCTCCCTGAACCCCACCGTGCCATTTCTGTAGCTCTAAGGCTGTGCTGTCTGATACAGTAGACACTAGCCACATATGGCTAGTAGCCAGTGTATTGCGTAGCACAAATATAGACAGTTTTCATTATCGCAGACAATTCTTTTGAACAGTTCTGCTCTAAGAGAACCTCAGGGAAATGTGTTGAAGTATAGTATCGTTGCAGGCATCACTTAAGTTTTCTCTGTCCAAGAATCCCTTTCTGGGAACCATTTTCCTTTCTCCCCCGTTCATCCGTATAGGTCCCATGGGGGCCACTGTATTCCTCCATGACCCTCCCATTATGGCCACAGAGGTTTTGTTAGAGGTATGCACCTGACCCAAGCTAGGCTAATTTTAGTATCTGGCTTCCTAAAGGGTATGGGGTAGGTTACCCTATTTAAATAGAGCTAATGACATCCCACCTTTTTTGGAATTTATGGACTTGGGGCACAGAAATGTGGCAGAATCTGTGAGCTGTAAAGCTTGGAATTTCTCAGTAGTCATGTTTTCCACCATAGGGATAAAGTTAGCTTGTGGTGAGCAAGCAAAAAAACCAACATGCAGAACAGGTAGAGATAAGGAGCAGAAAATATTGTGATAGCGTTCAGATTCCCGAGATTGCTGATACTGAGGCCCAGCTTTATTTCTATACTTACACATTTATAATCAACTTTCCATTTTTCATAAGCTAGTTCAAGTTGAGTTGCTCTAATTGGAAAAAGCTCCTAGAGTAAATAACTAATATATAAATGTTTCCATGACATTATGATTCATGAAAGAAATGCAGTATTTATGGTTTTAACTAGATTTTCATTAGATCCTTATATCTAGCGACATCTTCTCAGATAACTGCAACTGCTAATAAAGCTTAAAGTTTTAAAATGTCTCTCTTATGCAAACATTCAAAATCCCTGGATAACTAACACTTATTAAATTTTCCAAAATGTAATTTTTGGTATAGGTACTTGTTAAGACTCCATTTTTATATACGTAATATATAATACTAGAATTAAGCATATATTTAATTATATATACTAGAATAAAATATATATTACAAGATAGAATTTTTGCTCCATTCTTTTAATGGCTTTGGACTTTTTCGGTTGAATAGCTTAAATTAAATAGAGGAAGGTTCCAAATTTAAAAATCATTTATTTCTTAAAAGTACATTGGGAACTTTTGTAACTTGGAACATACTCTTCCATCAAGATAGTATTGCTATTAATAGTGGTAGGTTATTTTGTTTGGCACATGAAAACTATTTAACTAATGTAGGTGCAATTACCTTTCACTTTCCCTTTGAGCTGTTCTTTCCACATGATTCACCTTCAGTGCTTTCTTTTTCTGCTTTTGATGTTTCAGCTATACCACTGGATAATTAAGCATTGTGTCCTCCTGTAAGTCAAACTATCATTTTAAACAATATGTCTATGAAATATTGAGTTGAAACTTAAAATACCAAAAACACATTTCCATTTCCTAGTCATAAGAAAAGGAGTTACTTTGACTTCTTTTATTTTTCTTTTCCTGTCTCAGCTCCTAACTATCCACAGCACATGATGGGAAAATTGGGTAATTGCTTGAACTATATGTTTAGAAACTATTTTTCAAATAATTCATTAACAAGGAAGAATGAAGAATTTAAAATGAAGCATTTCTTGAACATCCCCTACAATGTAAAGGTGTATAGACTAAAGATTATTTAGAGGTATATGGTCAAAATTACAAAAACGTCTTGTCCTTAGGTGGGATGCATGACTGATAAAATTTAAAAATATTTAAATTATAAATAATTGGCACTCCTCCAAATTAAAAGTATCAAACCCATGGCATACTTTAGAAATAAGAGTATATAAGAAGTTAAATCTCAATTCCAAGTGGCCCCTAAGCAAACTCAGAAGCCATATGAAATGTTGGAAAGTTAGGTTAAGCCATATGATATTGCCCAACAGTAATCATAGAAATTTCCCAACTAGTATCTGGACAGTATTTTTTAAAAAAAGGCAATATTGGTAGGGAGAATTATGCATTCTAATCTGGGGGGAAATGTCATCAATATTGAGTAGCCTTGGCCTAAATTCCCAGATTTGACAAGTTTGAAGCTCATGTTCGCCACACACACACAAATTCATTTTCTGAGCAAACTGTGATATCAACCTGAGTTATGGGAGCTCAAATAACTTGGACCCATATATGATACTTAGGTAATTGATGATGTAATGATGATTTTTTTTCTTTTGGCTTTCAATGTAAAATTCTTAAAAAGGCTGAGAAGAGCCAGCCAGAAAACACAAACCCAGAACTGTGGTTTCAAGTTCAAACCAATGCCTTGGAGTTCAAGACTATTTTAAGGGAGGTTGCTTGGAGAAAATATCTTTGGCACTATACATATTTTACCTGAATCTCATGGATATCTATAGTAAACATACATACACACAGAGCTTTCCTAAAACATAGACATTTTAATATTTTCTGGTAGGACAGCATTTTGTTTGATCTTTCAATATCAACTCTTGTTTGTAGCTAGCTTTTAGCACAGTTCCTGGTTTGATATTCACCGAACTAATGAAAATGGTAAAGAATGAATGTCTATTGAACATAAACTGTGACTGAGGGAGAGATTATATAAATGCAGTGAAAGACAATTTCTGCTCTAGATTTACAGTCCAATCTCACTTACATAAGTGCAAAATTTTCTTTGTGTCAGTCTCCAGTATAGCTATTTTGCACTAGGAGTAAGCATTTTCTCTGCAAGGAGAATCACCAACTCCTTGTTCCTCCATGTTGTTTATGCCGTTCATTGTCAAGGTCCTCGAAGTACCAAATGAAGCTGAGAGTTGGGTAAATGTTGAGTGGCTCAGGTACCTCAGGTCCAAATTAAACAGCCAGCTCTGTGTTCGACGTTGACCTGTGACGGTTCATAATGCTCATAGGTTTGCCAGTTAAAAGAACTTGAATGTCACTTGCTTTTTCAGGCCCTTTGTCAAAACGTCTGTCTCATCTCTACTTTTGTATACCTCAAATGTGTGGAGACAAATGCCAACGCATATTTCCGAGGGAAGACCAAGCTCAGGTTGATGGCAAGCTTTATCAGGAGTCTAAGGGGTGAAGTGCACGAGCACACGTGTGTGCGTGTGTGTGTGTGTTTGTGTATGAGAGAGAGAGAGAGAGAAGCAGCTGTCCTCAGGATCCCTCTGTCTCTCTCCCGTTTGCTCTTTGCCAGCTAGCCCTCTCTCAGCCCACAGCGGAGATCTGAGGCGAGTATTTGGCTGATCCAGGCAAAGCAAAACAAAAACAAAACAGACCTTCAGATTACCAAATCTGAGGGAGTCACTGGGTGGGGATTCTTGAGCCCAGTTTCAATTGAGACCTGTCCATGGTCCTGACCATATCCTTCCCCATGCCCCTCCCTCATCGGTTTCGAAGGCCGCAAGCAAGGGAGGAGCAGACGTCTCCGCCGGGGTCCTGGGCCCACAGAAGCCCCCGGCCGAGCGGGTGGGAGCCGTCCGCACATACTCAGTGCGCCTCGGGCTGGTCTTGGGCGCCGGTGCTGGGGCTCTTTGGACCCCGCACCTGTTTCGGATCCCGGCGCGAGGCGCGGTGGGGGAGGTGGGGTGGGGGCGAGGCGGCGTCACGTGCCGGCGGCAGTGGCGGCAGGGGAAGGTTCCATTTCTTCCGCGCGCTCGCGGCGCTCCGCCCCACCCCAGACCGCCCCGCCCGCGGCTCCCCCAGGCCGCGCAGCCCGGCGACTGCGGGGCTAACCCCGCCCAGCTCCACTCGCCGGCTGCCCCGGCGCGTCCTCCGTCCGCACGCCCGCTCGTCGCCCCCGCCATCCAGTTGGTGCGGTCCAGGGCGAGCGCATCATGGCGATTGAAGGTAAGTGGAGGCGTCCGTGGTTGGTGAGGAGGGGGGAAGCCCAGGTAGCGGGGGCTCGGAGGTGCACGAGAGGCCGAGGCGAGGATGGGGCTGGGAAGCGGCTGTGGAGGCGCAGGGTCCCCGAATGCGTCCCGGGAGGCGGGTGGGCGGAGCGGCGCCGCGGGTCCTCCCGACTCTCGTCGGCCCTGGCTGTTCCGTCGGCCTCGGTCCGTGGCCCGGCGCGGGGAGGAGCTGGTCCGGCTGACAGGTATGGTGCCAGGGCCGCTGCCTCTTCCTGGCTGCGCGGAGTGGGGCTCCGGTGCGGCCCTGCCGACCCGGCGGGACTGGCTGGGGGAGCGAGGGACCGCAGGGTGTACCCCCTTCCATTGACCTCGCCTCAGCAAGCCATCCTCCCACAATACCCGCCTTCCTACCAAACTGGGAGCCCAGTTTTGCTGTCCTGGTCCTAACCCTTCTCAGTCCCTACTGTGGAGCCGATGCTCCGTCCGTTCCCCTTTTGATTGCTGTTGTAGGGGACCAGGAAATTTGGAGTGAGGTTTATTTCCTTCTCAAGTGTTTTTTCCCCCTAACACTCAAAACTGGTTTTTCTCTACGAAAGAGGTATAAATACATCTTTACAGCAAACGCACACGCTTAGAATCCTGCATATATATCAGTCCTTTAAGAGTTACAGTGCCATGAATACTAATATTTTCAAAAAAGTAGCTTAATAAATTAAGTTCCTAGATAAGGTACATAGTTGGCACTAGAGTGTATTTTTCTCTTCTTCCAAAAACATGTAACTGGGATGAAGTGTCTATATTTTGCCTTTTTTTTTTTTGCTTTGTTTTTAAGGAAGATATTTTGAAAATTAATATAACTCGTCTAGGATTTATGTGAACGTCTACGTCATCTTTCAGCCCCTAACTCTTACCTTAATACAAACAATGAAAGTAGTTTGTAAAATTTCCCTGTGTGTTTGTATGCATCATACAGATGTGCAAGGCCCCTACAGCAATATCATCACTAGGCTAAATTTTATGTGTTCCTCCTAAGTAAAACTTTTCAAAGCACTTCCCATCTTGGTGACCAATCCCTAGTGGCATACATCTTTGCCAGCTCCAGAATTGTTTCAGTTTTGTGTTTACGTTTATCTTATTTATTTAAGAGATTGATTACCTATTATACGCAAGACACACATTCAAACAGTTTCAAGTGTCTGCTTTAGCTAAAGTGATAGAGGGCACTGGGAATAAGATCTACCAATAATCTTTGATATTCTTGTTATCCAGAGCGGCACTTTCAAACTTTTCCTTACTATGCTTTTTACTAGAGGTTTAAAATCAAGAAACCAAATACACTAATTTATGTTTTGTACTTTATTTCCACAACCACTTTGTAGTAGAATTTCTTACGACTTGGTAAAGATAAAAACGTTATTGCAGAAGGCGAGGAAGAATCAGCCAGATAGTACCCAGATATGATCCTATAACTTGTAATTTCTTTAAAAATTTTCCAGTTTTCCCCCTTTTTCTCGATTGATCCTTCCCTTCTCCCCCTGCCTCCCTGTAGTTAAATGTGATCGATTCCTTTTTTAAGTCAGCTGATGGCATTTTGCTCTGCCTATTACTACTTGTATGTTTAAAGAACAAGATTTTTGCTTTCCCTATTCAAGAGATTCTTCTGTGCTTGAGATACTCTTGATTAATATTTTCATACTTAAGCATTTGTTTAAGGCTTCATAATATAAAAGTCAGGAATTGTCTTTTCTAGTTTGGCAAGGAAACTAGTTAATACTAGCATTTCAAATAAAGATGTCAGGTAAGGTGTGCTGTTTATCACATACTAAAGCAGATTACTTATACATATCACCCCATGCTATGTTATGAAATAGAATGAGCTCTGGATGAGGGCTTTATACTACGGACATCTTAGAATTTTAGGGGCCCAAGGAAGCATCTCATCCCACCTTCCCAAAGAAGTGGCTGTTAAAACATGCAGTGCCTTCATTCACCTGTTAATTCCGTAGACTTACTGAGCCATAGCTGTACTCAGCATTCTGTGCTAGACTCTGTGGGGCCGTAAAGATGAATAAAACCACATTTCTTCCCTCAAGGAGTACGTGTTCTGTTGGGGGAGACAGATAATTTTAACCATGCGATTACAATATAGTCTGAACACCAAGAGATGAATCATCCTTTTGTATAAAAATATTCAATGATAATGAGTTCATTGAACCAATATGCCAATGTGGAACTGTAATTCTTATAGTTCATAAGGTCTTTGTTTTGACCAAAAATCTGCCATTTAGTAACTTCTTTCTATCCACTCATCCTAGTTCTGCTTTCTAGAGCAATATATTAAAAGTTCACTATTCTCTGTGTACACAACATCACTTCTACCATTTGAAGACATCTCCTGAGCATTTTCTTTTCTAGACAAAATATTTAACTCTTCCTCTGGATGGTCTGTAGTTATATGTTTGATATATGGTAGTGGGCCACTCCATTCCAGATGTTTTGTTGAATAGCGTACATTAAAACTTTTGTATCACTCCTTGACTTGTGCATAATCCTATTAATGTAGCTTAATATTAGAATAGCCTTTTTGGAACTTCATGTTGACTCAGGATGAGGTTGTAATCAACCAAAATTACAGTCACTTTCACCTGGACTACTTTCAAGTCATGTGTCTTCAGTCCCTTGCATGGCTAACCAGTGTCTTGACTTGAAGAACAGATTATTTGTATCTGTTAAGCATACTCTTATTTGTCCTGCTCCATCGTTTTAGCCCTTTAATTTTTTTTTTTTTTTTTTTTTGGTCGTGCCACATGGCATATGGGATCTTAGTTCCCCGACCAAGGATTGAACCCGTGCCCCCTGCATTGGAAGTGCCAGAGTCTTAACCTCTGGACCGCCAGGGAAGTCCCTAGTTTAGACTTTTAAGAACTAAGGGTTACTTTTATTTCCTTCTTTTTGGAAAACCCTTATTTTACAATACCAATTAATCATTTATTTCCTCTTTTTATCAATCAGACAGGTAACTGCTAATCAGGACTTCAGACAAATATAACATGATGGTGTTACCACTCTGAGCTAATATAATTCCAGTCAGAGGTGAAGAGGTTAGCCCTATCTTAGGTTAAGGTACAATTTTTAAAAAGCATATTGAAATATTGGGTAGTTTACAGATCCTTATTTTTACCCTAGAGGTTTGGTGGGTGATACCAGGTTGGGAATCATTGGTCCAGCCTCGCCTATCAAGATCTGTAATTGTTATCTGGCATATTAACTCTTCTAATGTTGGCCTCTGTCAGTCTGACATTGTTGACTAGTTCCTGTTTTTCAAAGTTTTCTCTTCCTCTCTTGATTACTTACTTCTCAGCCTTCTGTTTATCTCCCTAATCTAATGTTTTCTGTGTTTCCATTCTCAACCCTATTCTCACTCTGCTTTATACACACTGCTGTAATTGCAATGTGTATCAAGAATAATGTTGGAATCACTTATTTATAAATTTGTCTCCCCAGTCTGACCGTAAATGCCTAGAGAATAACGTTTATTTGGTTTTTATTCATTAGATTTTGTACAGTATCTGAAAATAGTATGTACTCAACACGGTTCTTGAATTGTTATAATGGACTTCTATGCATTATCTTAATGGGTTGCATCCCTTGCCCAGATGTATTTGACCAAATATCTGCCATTTAGTAACTCCTATCTATCTCCTCATCCCAGTTCTGCTTTCTGGAGCAATAAATTTAAAATCCATTATTAATAACTTAAAAGTATGCATGATTTTCCTCACTTATATTTCCAGATAGTAGCTACATATCTTGGATGTTTCACAGCAATTCAGAATTTTTAGCTTGGGACATTCAAAATGTCCTAAACTAAAGTTGTCGTCACAGCTACTGAGTCCAGCCTCCATGCTCCCCACTCCATGCAAATTTACCATCTGAGTAGCATTTTTAAATAACCAGACACCTGAATTACAAAGCTGGAAATCAACCCTGTCTTATAATTCACTCCCCACATCCTGTTGATTACCAAGTCGTACCACGCCTGCATCTCAAATTAACTGATGATGTTTAGTGCTTACATTTTAGGTTTTCCCTTATCTGTCATTAAGAGACTTGTATTAGTTTCCTCACTTGTCATCTCCAGTCTTTAAGATTCATTCCAATCCATTTTTCAAACAATTGCTAGTTATCTTTGTAAACTTCGAATCAGAATTATTTAAAACCTCAAGATAAAGCTAGTCTTTAGTGATCTGGCCTACACCCTTCTTTCATCCAGTCCGTATTTTTCTGTCTCTTCCATAAGATTATCATAAGACTCCTTGCAGAATGTTTTGCTTAAGTAAAAATATTCACCTTTATTGTTAACTTGCTATATATTAACTTTAAGTACTTAACATCTGTGGGTAGCATTTTTAAAAATTGTGAAAGAAGGGTAAATTAGAGAATCTGTGTGTGTGTGTATACTCACGTTTTAATTTAATTTAATTTAATTTTTTTTTTTTTTTTTTTTTTCTTGCGGTACGCGGGCCTCTCACTGTTTTGGCCTCTCCCGTTGCGGAGCACAGGCTCCGGACGCGCAGGCTCAGCGGCCATGGCTCACGGGCCCAGCCGCTCCGCGGCACGTGGGATCCTCCCGGGCCGGGGCACGAACCCGTGTCCCCTGCATCGGCAGGCGGGCTCTCAACCACTGCGCCACCAGGGAAGCCCTACGCTCATTTTTTGTTCATAATGCATCTTACAGTTTATCACACACTTTCATATATATTTTTTAAGTCATTAGTACAATTTTGAGATGCTCTTGAAGATTTGTTGTGACTCTTAAAATTTCCAAGGCATAATTTGGGCTTTCAAAAGCCATTTGAGGGCTTCCCTGGTGGCGCAGTGGTTGGGGGTCCGCCTGCCGATGCAGGGGGCACGGGTTCGTGCCCCGGTTTGGGAGGATCCCACATGCCGCGGGAAAAAAAAAAAAAAGAAAAAAAAAAAAGAAAAGCCATTTGAAAT